AAAAGAGGATCACTTTCTTATACATTTTCTATCTACAGTAGCAAAAATATTAAGTCATATACATACTGCAAAGGTTGCACACTAAATAATGATCAGAGTGTTTGGTGTCAAGGAAGCGGATGACCTCCTAAAAAAGACAGACACACATCTTACATATCCAACATAACACATGAACAACCCTGGAGTTAGTAGGAGTAATCTAAAATGCTATTCATTTTTATTTACTTGTCTCTTTCTGGTCCCTTCTAGGGAACATGCAGGAAATGGAACCTCCTGATAGTTTTTAAATAGCCTCCAAAATACACATTGTTTAATTTTTTTAAACACTATAAATTTACTACATATAAATCCACATGGTTTAATATATATTTATAAATGCACAGTGCTTAGTGCTGTAAATATACATTGTTTATGGTTATCTAAGAAAGAAATTAATTGGTCAACTACCTTAAGTAAGTCTTTTGAAGTAAATAATTAACAGTAAGGAACATATGGTGGGTATATCAGAATAGGTGTTTTTAAAACAGTTATTTGACTATTAGTTCCCCTATGCTCTATGTAGATAAACAAGTATAAAAAATATAATTGTGGCATGCAACATAGAAAAAGATAACATTTTAAATCGCTAATAGTAATACGGAGACTTTTTAGCTGACCTATGTTTCCTTGTTTAGAAATGAATATATATACATATATATGGGTATATGTATGCTTATATATACATAACCATAACTTTAAAAATAGGAAACAATAATTAGTATTTAAAACTGTTCTAAGCTAACAGAATTTTGAGCCAACTTATCCAGTAAAACACATACACACACACCTTTGTATAATAGGAAAGTGACTGTCATAAAATTAAGATATTGGTTTCCTAGCACGAGAGCGTGTTTGCTGGCTTGAAATTAAGAGGAAGAAAACTAAAGCATCAAGTGCTCAAGGGAAAGAGTAATAAGTCAAAAAGCTGAACACTGCACAGAACAGGAGGCAAGAAAAATAAATATGCATCCAAGTTTCAAGGGATAACTTGAACAAAATAGAACTAAGATGGATTTAGAAAGCTAAGATCAAAATTCACAAATAAGAAATTTAAGTGACCCAGAACATCACAAACCAGGATATCATAAAAACATTTGCACATCAATGTTCATTGTAGCACTATTCATAATAGCCAAGTTATGGAAACGGCCCCTACAATAAATGAGTGGATCAAAAAAATGTGGTAACTAAGCACAATGGAATTTTACATAGCTATTAGAAAGAATAATGTGTCCTTTGTAGGGAAATGGATGGACCAAGAACAATCATGTTAAGTTAGGTACATCAAGCCAAAGAGACAAACAGCATATTTTTTTCTCTCATATGTAGAAGTTAGATCTAAAATACACTGGGAGTACTCCAGGCAGTTACACACAATGCGACCAATGGAGGATACTCTTGGGGGTGAAATGCTTATGTGCCTCTGATCAATAAAATAGTATTTATCAAAATGAACTCCAGGAAATTGATGAGGTTTTTTCTTTGTTATTGCATTATTTTTTTTGTCTTGTTTCTTTGTTCATTTGTCTTTGGGAGGGCAGGGAGAGCACAGAAATGGAAGGACAAAGAGTGAACAAATGTAGCAGAACATCAAACACTATGTTGAAAATGAACTGTACAACTTGTGGGAAGGATGGGAAGGAAAAACTGGGAGAGAAAGTGAAAGAAGGGGTGACATTCTTAAAAAGAAATGTACTCTTTATCTCACTTATATAACTGTATTTTCCTCTGCTTATCACTTTCATTAGAACAATAAAATCATTTAAATAGGGATACAGGTGGATCCATTGCAACAATGAGATGTACAAGTCATTATGTCGAAAAAGGAACTTTACAACTTGGGGGGGTGGTGGGAGATGGGAAGAATGGGAAGGGGAAACAAAGGAGGAGGCAACAATGCTTGATAAGAAATGTACTCATTACCATGTCCATGTAATTGTAACCCCTCTGTATGGTATTTTCACAATAAAAAATTTAAAAAAAAAGAAAGAGTCTCTCAGACTTTTCTGCCCAGGCCGGCTTTGAACCGTGATCTTTAGTTCTCATCCTCCGGAGATTACAGGTGTGAGCTGCTGGCTCCTCGCTCAGGGATGTTTTTTTTTTTTTAAAGAAAAAAATCACTTTTACATTTCTCTTAATGTCCATAAACAATGACATTAAGGATTTGATTTTTCTGCTTTTGTTCAATTGTATATGTTTCA